GGAAGAAATTAATATGATGCTTGCTATCAATTTAGATATTTAATTTTTTAAACAAAAAGTTTAGGGATTTAATATAAGTTAAATACTATATTTATTAACACATTTATAGAGAACATATTAAAAAAAATTTTAAATTATAATAGTTTGTTTACCCGACCAATCGTACTTTTTTAATATTGTAAAAAACAGTTACGGTAACATTTTTATCAGTTTGAATCTAATTTATGAATGCAATTTGTCATTATTTTTATATGGGTAATCTTTCTTACTTAAAGTTTAGGTTTAATTAAAATGGAGTAATATTTGAGGGTTATATTAAAGATTTTGTTTTCTTCTTATATATATCATACATATTCATGCAAATCCTATATATACATACGTTTATTTACATGCGCAAATACACACATAGACACACATATAGCGGTATACACACGTACCTATACATATTCATGCATGAATTACATACACATACATTTATAAATAATTACATATATTTTTATATTTGAATTTATTTAGATTTTTGTTTAATTTCATAGTTAATGTTTAACGTTCTCACTTTCTCTTTTAATATTCTATAATTAGAATTGTGGGATTGAATATTTATCATCTGGAGGTATTTTCCTTTTAAATTGATAATTTAACTTAAATTTAAACATACCTATCATTCACTATCAATATTGATAGTAAAATATTAAATTATTTTTTTGAATAAGATGTCACCTAACGTTAAACATGCTTGAGAGAGATATGAAATTAATCCCTCCCTAAACTCTTCCTTGTCTCTTTAACTACTCCTTTTACACTCTCTGTAAATTACAAAACTTACACTACCCATCAATTTTAATTTCATTTTTCGTTTCATTTCATTTTTCGTTTCATTTCATTTTTGGAAGTGCTATCTGATGATCCGTCGTCCTTTAAAAGGGCTCTGGTGAAATAAATTATTATAATGGTACCTTAAAGTGGTCTGTTTTTCTTTAAAATATTAGCTCTGGATTTACATTGAGCTCTCAGGATTTCATCCTCCTTGGGATTACCCATACGGATTACCAAGTTCTTCATAACTTATATATATATATATATATATATATAAGTATAGGATTGGTGTATACGGAATAAATTCCAATAACCAACAATTACTATTCTTAAAAGAGTCCTCAATACAGATTGGAGCTAATATAATTATTTATTCAAAAATTATAAAATAATTTTAATCTAACCCCAACATTAAGGCATTAAATAATTATTGTAACCTTAGTTCGTTGTCAGTTTTTTTGAATTCTCGTATACATGTATTTTGATTGGTTATTCCAGCTTATGTAACAGCGTTTCCCCTTACAAGGGGTGGTAAATTAATTTGAACCTTTTAAAACCCTTTATTCTATATTCAACATCATCACTTGATAAGACACCAGAGGTGCTGAAACAAAATGGCTATTTTTGTAGTGATTTTAAAACAGATTTATGTTATAATATTTAATTAAATAATTATATATATATATATATATATATATATATATATATATATATATATATATATATAAAGTGAACATCTGTTTCATGATATATGCGAATCTGTCCGACTGACGATTGCAATCTTCATGAAACAGACTGTCGCATCTAAGTGTTGTCTTCTATGTTCACATTTATATTTACACACGCTCTATCTATGCTATCGAGCACTTTATCCCATAAATATAGCACACCTTAAGACTATATTTCTTCATATATATATATATATATATATATATTGCGATGACAAAAGGGCAATAGTACTGTCAGAGTTTGACCCCTGACACACTGGCTCAAAGTTTACCGCTGATAACCGTTAAAACTGAGGATAGTACATATAGGTGTATAAGAGTCACTGAACTGAAATAAATTAGCGAAATTACTCACACAGCCAAAGGCAGAAGTGCGTGCGCTCACACACACATATATTCCATGATAAATATATATATATATAAAAATATATATATATATATATATATATATATATATATATATATATATATATATATATATATATACATGGGCAGCAAGTATTCTTTTATGCAAATTTCATTAAAAACGAATAACAAGTTATCTCGCTTAAGTATTTTTATTTATTTAATTTTTCTTGTGTTGAGCCAACACAAGAATAACATCAACTATGAACACGGCCACAATGTGCTGACCGTGTTTGAAAAATAAAACATTACTATAACTTTAGATACACACATAAAACAATCCATACATTCAGTTAACAGTCAAAATACATTCATGCTCTTGATGGCTAAAAGTATACGCGAAAGTGATCGGATATACTGAACATTCAGGCAATTTTTCCTCAAAATATCCTTGTAAAATAGGAGGTGTCATATTTGAATGTGCTTGTTATGCGAAGGCAAAAATGGTGCGTACAAGTGCGGAGCCTTACGAGGGCATCTTTATACAAGTTGTGAGTTAATATATACCAATATGTTGTATTCCAAAATATCTTACATTCTCCCTTACAAAACAACTTTAAAATATATTTCAATAAATATGTAATTTATTTTTACACACCGTGTAAAATAGGGGCGTTTTTATAAAGGTGCGTGTTATACGAAGCAAATAGAGTATTTGAAAGAGCTACCTTTTGATACTTGTTCTGAGAGGTAATGCTAATCTACGTGGTCAGTTGGAACTGTTATATATGTTTGTCTCCTGATGGTATGAAAAAAAAAAAATGATTTATTAATGTTTATTATGTATTGGAGCTGATATAAACCATTGAGGTTTCTCGAATGATTACGTAGTTGCACAAGAAAGGTGAAAGAGAAAAACAAGCAAAATATACGGACTGAAGAAGAAAAGGAGATGAGAAAATAAGAAAGAAAAAAAGAAGGAAAAAAACAGTGTAAAAATTAAGGGAAAAAGAGACAAGCAAGTGTATATAACAATTGATGGAAAAGAAGAATAAGCAAGCGGGAGTGAAATATGAATAGCAGTTGACAAAGAAACTGGACTACTATAAAGAATGGAATAGTATATTGAATTAGAACAAAAGGAATGAATGAAAAAGAGCAGTAAGAGGAAAAGCATAAAGCCAAGAATTAATAGCAGCCGAGATTCAAAATGGCTTCAAGTCCGTCCTTAACTGGGGCAAAAGATAGCTTGTTCATTTTAACGCCTCTAAAATTAAACTTCTTTCCATTAATCATCTGAGAGACCTCTCGCTGCCTTCCATCAGCATGGCTGATGCTAACCTCCAGTTAAGTGACTTGTTGCGCCTTCTCGGGCTTACTTTCTCAGCTGACATGAAGGGGAACGACAATATTGAATCCATTTTTTAGGTCAGCTGTTAAGAAAGTCAGTTCACTATGTCGGGAGAGACAATTTTTCTCTCCAAAATCTACCCTACATATCTATAGGTCTACCATTCGTCCGTGCTTATAATATTGCTACCACATATTGTCCGCTCCCCCAGATTTTGCCTAGAGGTCTTTGATAAGATCCAAAGAAAAATCAACACCGGTCACTTTCCCACCGCCGTAAGTTTGCATCCCTCTGTCTTTTCTTACGTATTTATTAGTCTACCATTCGTCCATGCTAAGTATATTACTACCACATATGGTCCGGCGCCCCTGCTGTTCACTTTGAACTCCTTGATAAGATCCTAAGAAGAATTAGCAATATTTTCAGTCCTGATCTGACGGCTCGACTCTAGTCACTTTCCCACCGCCGTAAGGTTGCATCCTCCTGTCTTTTCTTGCGTATTTATTAGTCTACCATTCGTCAATGCTAAGTATATTGCTACCACATATAGTCCGGCGTCCCTGCTGTTTACCTTAAGCTCCTTAATAATATCCAAAGAAGAATTTGTAAAATTTCAGTCCTTATCTGGCGGCTCGGCTCTCGTCACTTTCCCACCGACGTGAGGTTGCTTGTCTACGCCATTTCTATAAATACTTTTATGGTAATTATTCGGATGAGTTCTTCGCTATGGTACCTAGAATAATTGAGTCTAAATGCACCACTATACTGGTGTCGAGATCTCATCAATTTACAGCTAAGCTGGCTAGATGTAGCCGGTAGTTCTATGCTAACAGTTTCTTCTCTCGCACTTCTCACTTTTGGAACTCCCTTCCGGCTCCATGCTTTCCAGCCAACTTTAATAAGCAAAAAATTAAATGCAGTGTCAATCGCTATATAATGTCCTCCTGATTACTCTTTTCTCTTTCTGATCATTATTATGGTCACTGGTCTTAAATCTTCCACTTCCTGTAACCCTGTGCGTTTTAGTGGCATTACTCACCTTGCTTCTTCTGATACCGATTAAAAAAGAAAATAAATAGGAGGATAGAAGAGAAGGAAAGAAAAAGAATGTAGAAGAAATAGAGGGAAAAAGAAAGAAAAAAAGAAAGATAAGAAAGGAAAGGAAAGGGAAACAAAAAAGCACAAGAGTAAGAAAGATAAAAAGAGGCTAAAAGAAAAGAAAGATTGATTGATTCGGTTTTTTACGGTTTATCAACCCTTTGTAGATTATTTAACACCAGAAAATATCTTTAGATTTTAAGATTTTTCTTTTAGAGATAAAAATTACTTAGTGATACAAATTGTCATGTAGGACATAAATGAATGGAATTGTCTGTTTATGCAAATAAACGGAGTTAATCAGAATTGAGGAGAGTTAGCATTCGGTCTTGTCGAACCAGACGAGGCTATGCCGAAGGACAAAGTCTCTTCTGTTGAGGTAGACAGCTACACGACCCCATGTATACGAAGTCTACGGGCAATTTTTGCACGAGCCTACGAACGCGGAACACCCCACGTAAAATTACTGCTGAATTAAATAACGGTGCTCTCTTGCTTTGATACACAGGTTACCAGCCTATGAAAAGGAAGACACTCAATTCAAAACCAGCTTGAAAAGAAAGGGATCCCTCAGGCTGTCTTTCCTTAGTCACATCACTGTTGCAATGGCAGCAGTTCAAGTGATGTCCCTAAGACCACAACGGGTCATGGGACTCGTGACGTCAAGTGATACAACGGGAGAGAAAAAAATCGGATAGAGAGACAATGGGGATAGAAAGAAATAAAGAGGAGAGTGAATATAAAAGTAGAAAGAAAGATTGAAATATAGGAAGAGGGGGAAGGGCTGAAAAATATGACATCTCGAAGCACTTTATAGACAAACAGCAAAGAAAGAGAAAAGAGAGAATATAAAAGTAGAAAGAAAGATTGAAATATAGGAAGAGGGGGGAAGGGCTGAAAAATACGACATCTCGAATCACTTTATAGACAAACAGCAAAGAAAGAGAAAAGAGAGAATATAAAAGTAGAAAGATTGAAATATAGGGAGAGGGGGAAGGGCTGAAAAAATACGACACCTTGAAGCATTTTATAGACAAACAGCAAAGAAAGAGAAAAGAGAGAATATAAAAGTAGAAAGATTGAAATATAGGAAGAAGGGGAAGGGCTGAAAAAATACGACACCTTAAAGCACTTTATAGACAAACAGCAAAGAGAAAAAAATTAGAAGAAAGAGAATTATATAAGTAGAATGAAACATTGAAATGCAGGAATTTGTGGAAGAGCTGAAAAATACGACAGCTTAAAGCATTTTATAGACAAACAGCAAATAAATAGAAATAGAAGACAGAGAATATAAATGTGGAAAGTAATATTGAAACTTTTGAGTGGTTGGTATCATATAGAATATAAATGAATGGAATTGTCCGTTTATGCAAAAAAAAAAATGGTGTTAATCGGAGTTGAGAAGAGTTAGCATTAGGTTAGACGAGGTTATGCCGAAGGGCAAAATCTCTTCTGCGGAGGTAGACAGCTAACCGACCCTGTGTATGTCGAGTCATTTTTGCACGAACCTACGGGCGCTGAACGCCCCACGTAAAACCCGGCCTTGTACCACATCCCGCCTTGTGGGGAGGTCTCGGGTAAATATCGAGTTAGCATTAGCCGCGCGCTAAGCTCTAAGTGCTTGTCGAACACTGTGACTTCGGATGCAAAGGAACCTAAACGAGGCTATACCAAAGGACAGATTCTACTCTGGGGAGATATACAAACGCCATTATTACGGGATCTACGGGGAAATATTGCTCGGGCCTACGGGCTAGGAAAAACCCACGTTTAACCGGCCTTGTGTCACATCCCGCTGTGTGGGGAGCTCGGGCAAATACCGAGTTAGCATTAGGTCAATGGCTAAGTCTATCTTCGTGTGTTAAAACTTCTATTTCCTTACCTACTCGTTTGTCTTATTTATTTCTCTCTGTTTTCTCGAAAACACGAGATACAACAGTTGGCGACAGGGTTTCGAATGCAACACAAGTGTAACTAATTAACACATAGCCGGGGGGAAAAGAGGTGGATTCTTAACTTTCTCAAGGGTATTTGCGCGTAAGTGAATATAACAAACCCAATTGGAATTGGAACATGGCTCTCCGATTAACAATTCGGATTTATCATCCATTACACCGCCCGCACATCCAAGCTTAAAGCACACGTTATTCTCAAGTAGTCACCCATCTAGGTACTGACCAGGATCGAGGTTGCTTAACTTCGTTGTTTCAACGTGATTTGGCCGTAAGGCAAGTAGAAATAGGAACCGGAAAGAGATGGATAAAATTAAAAACAGCGAAGGAAAAAGAAAGAATGAAATAAAGAAAGGGTAAAAAGGAGAAGCAAAAGAGGAAGTGTAAAGTAAAACGGGGAAAAGAAAATAAGACATGAAAATCGAAAAGAGGAAAACGGAAGGTGTAAAGAATATATATATATATATATATATATATATATATATATATTTTGTGTGTATGAGTATGTGTTTTGAACATAGAAATATTTGGTCCTTGCGAAATGAGACAATCGTTATATTCATCTTCATATATTTATATTTGATTTTAAATTTTAATAAACACAATTTTTATTTTCCTTCGTCCCATCCCTCTCCCCACCCTTTTTTTTTTTTTTTTTTTTTTTTTTTTTGTGTATTAGTATGTGTTTTTGAACATAGAAATATTTGGTCCTTGCGAAATGAGACAATCGTTATATTCATCTTCATATATTTATATTTGATTTTAAATTTTAAGTAAACACAATTTTTATTTTCCTTCGTCCCATCCTCTCCCCGACCCTTTCCTTTTTTTTTTTTTTTTTTTTTTTTGTGTATTAGTATGTGTTTTGAACATAGAAATATTTGGTCCTTGCGAAATGAGACAATCGTTATATTCATCTTCATATATTTATATTTGATTTTAAATTTTAAGTAAACACAATTTTTATTTTCCTTCGTCCCATCCCTCTCCCCCACCCTTTCCCTTTTTTTTTTTTTTTTTTTTTTGTGTGTATTAGTATGTGTTTTTGAACATAGAAATATTTGGTCCTTGCGAAATGAGACAATCGTTATATTCATCTTCATATATTTATATTTGATTTTAAATTTTAAGTAAACACAATTTTTATTTTCCTTCGTCCCATCCCTCTCCCCCACCCCTTTTTTTTTTTTTTTTTTTTTTTGTGTGTATTAGTATGTGTTTTTGAACATAGAAATTGCGAAATGAGACAATCGTTATATTCATCTTCATATATTTATATTTGATTTTAAATTTTAAGTAAACACAATTTTATTTTCCTTCGTCCCATCCCTCTCCCCACCCTTTTTTTTTTTTTTTTTTTTTTTTTTTTTGTGTATTAGTATGTGTTTTGAACATAGAAATATTTGGTCCTTAAGTGAAATTTCGTTATATTCATCTTCATATATTTATATTTTTTTTTTAAACCCATATAAACACAATTTTATTTTCCTTCGTCCCATCCTCTCCCCACCCTTTATTTTTTTTTTTTTTTTTTTTTTTTTTTTTTTTTTTTTTTTTTGTGTGTATGAGTATGTGTTTTGAACATAGAAATATTTGGTCCTTGCGAAATGAGACAATCGTTATATTCATCTTCATATATTTATATTTGATTTTAAATTTTAAGTAAACACAATTTTATTTTCCTTCGTCCCATCCTCTCCCCACCTTTTCCTTTTTTTTTTTTTTTTTTCCTTCCTATCCGAATTGTCTGTGGTGTGTATATGTCACCCACGAAATGTATCTTTATGTATTAGACATCCGTCGACTTTTCTTTCTCTCCTCTTTTTAAATCCACCCCACCCACATCTCCAAAAAATTTCTCTGTCACTCATCCTCATACTTACACTTTCTCTAAATTCTGTTTTGATTTCGGAGTTGTTTTTTTCTGTTTTCATTTTTGAATTTGTAGGTCTGATGATTTGGATCGTATTTACGATTCCAATGGAATAAATTATGACCATGGAATATTAGTGTTTAAGCCTTTTATTATATCCTTACTCTGTCTTAGACATTGAGTTCTACCTGGATCCTTCCTCTTGGAAAAAATTTTTTCTGAAAAATATACATGTATGGGAATTTTTTTAGATATATTTTTCATATGTATGTATATTTTCCACTAATATTATCTATATATATATATATATATATATATATATATATATAACGGAAAAAAAGAATTAAATGAAAGAGAGAAAAAAGAAAAGATCAAAAGGAAGAAAGAAAAAAAACGACGACGAAGAAGAAGAAGAAGATAAACGGAAGAAAGAAAAGAAAAGACATTAGAAAAATTAAAAAAGGAAAAGGAAGGAGGCGGAAACAAAGAAAGAGAAGAAAAGAAAAGAAAACTAAAAGAGAAAAAAGCGTGAAGAAAACGGGAAAAAGAAAAACAGAGATAAATTTAGAGGAAGGGAGAAGCACAAAATATGGAATAAACTAAGAAAGAAAAAAAAAAAGAAAGACAAGACAAAAATTAAATGAACAAGAGGAGGAAAGAAAAAAATCACCTAAAACGAAAAGAAGAGATGAAAAGAAAAGAGAATGGGTAAAAAGAGAAAAGAAAAAAAAAGCGGAAGGAATGCACAAAAGAAAAGAAAAGTAAAACAAAAGAGCAACAGGAGTAAAAAAAAAAAAAAGTTAAAAAAGGGAAAATAGAGAATATAATACAATAAGATGTGAGAAGAGATGAAAACAGACCGAATAAGAAAGAGAAAAAAAAGAAGAAAAAAGAAAGAATAGAAAGATAAGGACAGAAGGAAAGAAAAAGGTAAAAAACAACTGAAGCTTAAAGGAGAGAATAAAAAGCGAAAAGAAAAGAAAGCAGAAGGCTTAAAAGGGAGAAATAATGACTAAGAAATAAAAGAAAGGAAAAGGAAAACAAAAGAGAAAGACGAGTAAACAAAACAAAGAGAAATACTAAACAAGAAATAAGAGAGAAGGAAGGAATGGGACATAAAGAAAAAAAAAAGAAGCGGGAAATAAAGGAAGAGAAAAATGGAACAAAAAAGGTCTAGAATCAGGAAGCGAAATCAATGGAAGGAGAAAAAAAATAACTTTGTTAAATTAATGACATACAAACATCATTGGATGATTTAATGCCGAACGTAAGTTTTATGGGACAAAAACACATTTAATAGAAAGGTATTAGGTTGGTGCAAAAATAATAACGTAATAATGTCGTTTTTTGACTTTAAAAAATACGTCAAAAAACGACATTATTACGTCATTATTTTTGCACCAACCTAATAGATACATCTAGAACGTAAGGCAAGCATTAAGATATCAGAAAAATGTATTCAGAAACAAGAAAAAAAGTAATGCGGAATTACTATGTAAAAACAATCTTCTTAATGTAGGATTATTTCCTCCGAGATAAAGATGAAATGTCAAATATCAGACTTGGATATCTCCAAAAAAAGATGCCGATGACGGGCAGATATGTGAGAGACAAGGAAGCTTTAAATAAAATATTGATGAAAAAGTCATTTACAATCAGAAAGAGACAGTTGAAATTTCCGTGATACATTATGACTCGCCGTGGTGTAATGGTTAGCAAGCTTGTTTCGCTAGATCAGTTAATACTGATAAGTGAGTTTGATCATCACTTTCGGCCTTGTGCCACATTTAAATTATGCTTGGAAAATAAACGGTTAGCAAGCTTGTCTTTACGACTGAAAAGTGAATTCGATCCTCACTTTCGGCCTTTTCTCACATCAAAGCTACGCTCGGAAAATAAACAAAGCATCTCGTCGTGGTGTAATGGCTAGCAAGCTTGTCTCGCTAGATCAGTTACGACTGATAAGTGAGTTCGATCCTCACTTTCGGCCTTGTGCCACATCTAAGCTACGCTTCGAAAATAAACGGTGAGCAAGCTTGTCTTTACGACTGAAAAGTGAATTAGATCCTCACTTTCGGCCTGCTCACATCTACGCTCGGAAAAATAATGTAATGGCTAGCAAGCTTTTTTCGCTAGATCAGTTTGATTCTCACTTTTGGTCTTGCGCCACATCTAAGTTACGCTTAGAAAATAAACAGGGCATCTCGTCGTGTAATAGTTAGCAAGCTTGTCTCGCTAGATCAGTTACGACTGAAAAGTGAGTTCGTTCCTCTCTAGAAAATAACCATAATGAGGAAGGAAGGTTTGAAGAATTTAGCATTCGCACGATCTATTCAAGACAGGAGGGAAGCTCACGTGATCTTATTTAATATTCTATGTAAATCTGAGTATAACTTCTTTATTACCAGTGGAATACGAAAAGAATGAAGTATTCGAACCTGTGTACGTAGAATGGTAGGTCTTAGATATAAAGTTTGGAACTATAAAATGGAGCTCTTCTCAACATTTTACATGGAAATGGCAATTCTTTCTTTTATTCTGCTTCTCTTTGGTCTTTTATCTTTACTCATTCCTCCTCGTCAAATTCATCTGAAATCATGTGTCTGTGTCGTCTGGATTTTTTTTTTGCTTCGTATCGCAATTATTTTGGGTGCGCTGTTTGTAACATGTCAGTATGACAGCTTTCCGTGGGACAAGAAATTCTTCTGAACTGACAGAAATGTTTCTTATTTAAAAAGCTGCAGTTTACTTCCTGGATTTTGCTTTGTGTAGCTATATAAAGATAATGTTTAAGAGAAGCAATAAAAAGTTTGTCTTTCGTTTGGATTTCTAATTTCCGGTTACCCTTCGTGGAAAAAAATTTAGGAATATACGTCTTCCTATGAAAAAAAAAGAAGAAGAGGAGAACAGGTGGATGAAATAAAAGGATAAAGGGACAAAAAGAAGAGCAAGAAGAAAAAGAATAAAGAAATCAAGAAGATACTAGGTGGAAAACCATTTTTTTTTCACATTTTATAAAACCCTTTATGTGTTATTGAAAGACGAACGTATTTTGAATTGTAAGAATAATACTCTTTTTACGAGTGAAAATGACATTAACAATATTTTGAGAATAAAAATGATTTTTCAATATATAAATGCTACAAATGAACCAATGCTTTGTAGAGGAGATGGATTCGGAACAACAACAGTAAAAACAACAGCAATAATAATGACACGAAAAGCATAATAACAAGAAAACGGAACAAAGTTCAAGAAGAAGAAAAGACATGGGTGAAGAAATAAAAGAAACAATAATAATGATGATGATGATAATAATAATGATATTAATAATATTAATAATAATAATAATAATAATAATAATAAATGTGGCGCATGAGGACATTAATTATTACAGCTGTAATTGGATCTCTCGGGTTGATTCGAAAAGATTCCAATAGACTCATTGAAGGAATCCCCGGTAGCCCATGCCTTAAAGAAATACAAAAAAAAATTGTAGTCACACGTATAACCCCTACCTTACGAAGGGCTTTATCTATGTAAAAGATGTGTGTGTGTGTGTGTGTGTGTGTGTGTGTGTGTGTGTGTGTGTGTGTGTGTGTGTGTGTGTGTGTGTGTGTGTGTGTGTGTGTGTTTTCTTTTTCAAAACTGCTCAGTGGAAAATGTCATGATGCCATTTCTAACCTTAGATCTCTGACCGGGACACGGAAAGAAATGAGTATGCACCAGAAACCAAAGGTGGTAATAATAATAATAATAATAATAATAATAAGAAGAAGAAGAAGAAGAAGAAGAAGAAGAAACAAAAAATGAGATGTGAAGACGAAATCAGGAGAATAAAAAGGAAGAAGACGAAAAGAAGAAGAGGGGAAGAAACAAAAAAATGAGATGTAATGAAGAAGAAATCAGTAGGATAAAAAAGGGAGAAGAAGAAGAAGAAGAAGAAGGCGACGAAGAAGAGACAAGACAAAAGGAAGTGTTCAAACGAAGAAACGATCAGGTTCATCAAATGAAGATGAAGAAGGCGGAACATGGAAAAGAATTGGAGGATAAAAATGGAAGAAATAAGAAGGAAAGACAAAGTTAATAAAAGAAAATGATAAAGACACAAACATAAGAAGGAAAATAAGAAGAAAAGAACAAAAAGAAATTAGAAATCGTCAGAAAAATAGACCTAGAAATAGAATGAAAAATGATTAGAGAAACTGACCAGGAAAAAAGTAAGAAGAACAGATCAGGTGAAAGAAAGAAAACGAAAAAGAGAGAAGAGGAGGAGGAAGAAGAAAAAGAAGGGAGAAAAAAACCCATGAAGAAACCAGAACATAATGGAGTTAAACATCGCTAAATAATTCCCATTGCTTTACAAAAGGGCAGACCCAGAATAGAGTACACTCAGCTAGTGACGTAATAGGAAACAGGTCTTTCGCATATGTATTAGCTAGGAGACACCACTGTCAACCACTTCAGTTGAAACTTGATATTGATTAACCGATTTCAATTGTGTCATTTTAAATGTCAGACCATCTAGGCACCTCCGTAGGCAAATATATCGGTGAGCATTTGATGTATTTGAAAACATTTGTTCACTTCAACGGATAGGTGTATCTATTTCATTTTTATTGTTTTTTAGTCTTTTTTTTATTGCGAATTACGAATTGTAGATAAACGCTCGCAATTTCGTGTTTTGTTATGTTTATTGTTTAAGTAATCTGTGGTAGACAAGATTCTGTTGGCTACATCCTGGTATTTTTAAAACTAAGATTAAAATTAATTCAAATACAAGACTATCATGCGTTAAAACGGTTTCTGGGAAATCAACTGCACCGGAAAAGTAAAATTGGAATTATTATGGACAGTATTTTATTTTAAAATTGCAAGACATTCAATAACAAAAATAGACACACTTGTTCTGAGTAAGAGACGTGGTTCCCAAGGATTATGGAAACGCCAGAAGCTACATTTTAATGATACTGTTTCTCTGTCTTGACCCGTGAACATGAATTTTACAATTAGAAAAAAAAAAAGCTCTGTCTAGTCAAATGTGTGTATCATTTTAAAAAATCTTAAAATAATATATATATATATGTGTGTGTGTGTGTGTGTGTGTGTGTGTGTATATATATATATATATATATATATATGTATTTATTTGTTATATTTTTATGTATATATATGTATATATATATATATATGTATATATATATATATGTATATATATATATATGTATGTATATATATGTATGTATATATATGTATATATATCTGTTTCTATATTTATATATATATATGAATATATATATGTATATATATATGTATATGTATGTATATATATGTATATATATATGTATATATGTCTGTGTGTATATATGTGTGTGTATATATATATATATATATATATGTATGTATATGACATAATATATTATGAAATAAACTAAGTCCGACAATTATTTTAATATATTTTTGTTTATAGTGTATATATATATATATATATATATATATATATATATATATATATAATCCGACAGAAAAAACAAATATATATGTTGGATATACAACAACTGCATTAGTAAGACGTCTTACACGACACTTGCCTGACCATTGGTTCATTGCTAGACATTTGCACCAACATTCCTTTCCACATTCCCAGTATAAAAATATACTTCTCGACAACACAAATAACCTAAACCAAGAAAACAGCAAATTCAAACTACAGATCCTCGAAGCAATATACAATTTAAAACCGTCACTTAAAAGAATCTACTTCGATTATTGTAGCAATGTTCTGAAATGTCTATAAAAAAGTTTTTCAATCTTTAATGCGCACGTGACCATGACATTATGAAAAATAAGCAGATATAACGCCTCTAATTTATTTAATCAGACATGACTAAATACACATACAAGCGCGCGCACACACACACACACACACACACACACACACACACACACACACACACACACATATATATATATATATATATATATTGATGGACGTTTCATTATTTTATGTAAATGCTTTTCATATCTTCTGATAAGCTTAATAATATCATTAAAAGATGAAAGAAAATCACCATATTGATACATATTTTTTAATCCTATCTAACCTTTCGGCTTAGAAAAGCCATTATCAAAGATGGCGATTACAATATATTAGCCAATATACAGACAAAACAATAATAATAGTCTGTTTTGTTTGCATATAAGATTCAATGAATCACGCATCAATGAAAAAATGCTGTTTAAATACTCAAAATTTTATATATATAATATATATATATATATATATATATATATATATATATATATATATATATATATATATATTAAATGCTTATGCAGTTCTCGTATATTCAACATATATATTTGTTTTTCAGTCGGATGATATACATATATATATATATATATATATATATATATATATATATATATATATATATATATATATTATAAATTAATTGATTTAAAATCTTTTTTTTTCTACACAGTTCTAACTATGTTTCAAAAATGAAACATGGTTAGAACTTTATAGCGAAAAAAAACATATTTAAATCAATTAATTTATAATATTAATACACTGTAAATTTACATCGAGCACTATTTTGTAAAATAAAAATATCTATAAGAACACCGGATCATATATCTTACTGTTCTTTCTTTATATATATATATATATATATATATATATATATATATATATATATATATATATATATATATATATACAGTTAATTAATTTTATTCCAAATGTTTTTGAATTGAAAAATACACATCTTCTCCTCCAGTTTGCGTTAGTAAAATTTCTATTAGTAAATCATTATTATCTTTAAAAAATCTTTTACATTCTAAAAATATTTTTCTGGCTTTAAATCACCTACAAAAGGTTGATAGACCGTAAAAAACAAAATCGATCAATCGTTTACTATTCATGTGTATAGACCTAAACTAATACAGCCAGAATTTCAACTCGATTGGTCGACTTTCTGTCATGGCCTTCCACCGTATATATTAGTATTTCTTTTTATATTGGTACCGTATAGATAAGTAACTGTTTTCCGTATAGTTTCTTACCACAGCCTAAATTTTATGTCTGCCCATCTGCCTGTGCTTCTAATTCCGTTTCCATCTGTTTATTTATTGAAAAGTTGTTCCCTCTCTATTTATCTATCACCTCCCGTTATCCATTATCACAACTTCATCGGCATTGTCCATCATTTTATTAGTTAATATCCCAGGCACGTAGATCAGAGCTCACATGTCTAACCAAGTGTCTACTAATAAGTTGACCATTTAAGGCAACAACTTCAGCGCGAGCGGGAAAAGTGTAAAATAGGCAAACCTTAACGGGAATCTGTTTAACCTAAATGATTCTTACTTTCTTATAGAATATCCGCTGTTAAGAATTTTATCTTTCAACAAAAGTCAAACATATAGCAACGAATGCGGTTCATTTAAACGAAAAAAATGAGGTTTTCTGGTCTATTAGGGACTAATACTAACACACACAACGTATCGAAAACATATACGAAATGTAAAGTTATAATTATTTTACTATCTAAAAACATAGAATGTGAGAAAGAAACAACAAATAAAGAAAAGGAGAAAGGAAAGAATATATAAGAATTATTATTAGAAGAATCTTCAACGGCCGCTTGTGTCATCAATGATTTTGCGGATCAACGGTTATAATTATTTTACTGATTATTACATCTTTTTTATATAGTTCGAGAAAGGAGTTCAAAGTAGAAGAATTTTGAGAAATTTCTTTTCACACGTAGAATTGTTTCGGTCATTCAGTGTAGCTTTTTGAGTCTATGAAACTTAAAGCACTTCACAGAAGAGATATTGTGACGGACTTCACCACATTAATTTAACTTTAGATTAGCAAACAGGGCCGACGCTGAAAAGGATAAGCCAAAGCCATTGTTACACATAAAATTTGTATTTAACAAGATGTACAATATCAAACAACGATGTGAATGAAAGCATGCATTTAAGTAAGAAAAGGTTGAAATAAACAAGAGTTGTCTCTCTTTTTACTGTTATTTTAGTATTTCAATGTTCACTGGAATAATGTTCATGAGAGTCTCTTATAATGACTGAGGTTGTCTGAGGGAGATGGCAGAGGGAAAGAACTTGTTAAGAGCTGCAAGAGATAGAGGCAGTGGAGGACATGGCACATACAAAGAAAAGAAATCGTAAGGTTTTTTTTTATTAAAGTAAACTGACATCTAAAAGTAATTCAATAAAACACACTAGTTCTTAATTATTGTTTACTGAAGTCAATCTAAAAATGCAAAAGAAAATGAAGCAGTTTTATTTTTTGTTTTTAATAATTTTTACTAAAGTAAATAGACATTGTAAAATATAAAAATGTTATGTCTTTCTGATGTTGAGTTGTTTTGTTCCAGCCCTAACGCTCGATCGATGGTGTTGAGTCGGCGGTGTTGAGTTGTCTATTCTCGTCATTATTACCTAGTTGCTTAACTGGTTGAATACTTTTATATTGAACACCTGTTTATCTATCGATCTTTCGACTAAAACACTCGTTCTTCTTAGGCGAGAAAAAGAAAACTCGATCTCTCCTGAGGCGGAAAAAAGGAAACTCTAAATATTCTTTGGCTCCTGCAAATCTATATCTTCATTCTGATGTGTATGAATCTCCTAGAGATAGAAGACTCTGGTTCAAAAGAATTATTTATGAATAAGTGGGTAATATATATATATATATATATATATATATATATATATATATATATATATATATATATATATATATATATAGAGAGAGAGAGAGAGAGATAAACTTCATGACTATTCAAGACAACCAGAGGAATAAAACACAGCTGCTGATATATTTCTCATAATAATTCAGCTAGTCAAGAACAAGAATCCTCAACAGAATGTAGAAAGCACTGGACGGCCATTTCGTCCTTTTTTTTAGGAATTATCAGTAGACTTCTTCTGGAATCCATGAATTATTATGAGAGATTATTCAAATCTTCAAAATTTATATATATATATATATATATATATATATATATATATATATATATATATATTTATGCTGTAACTTAGAAAAGGTTACTGACTGAGGAATAACCATAACGGAGGTTTGAAATGAAATGGTAACCTTTCATAACATCAACAATATATAATTTTCGCCAGCAGCATGAAGTAGGTAAACCACTGCTTTTGTAGACTACTTCGCACATTAACCCCGAACCTGTAGATGAATGTTATGATCCCTGTTTATAAATTCCAGTTGCATAAGGTCTTTTTTATTTTTTTACAAGCTTCCATCCGTTCATACAGACATCATCAGGTATGGAAATAGATATGTTTTTGTATTTTACTTCTCGGTAATAACAGTACAACGAAAGAATAGATGAAATCCGAAATATGTTTTTAGAAATGTGTTATTGTTAACTGTAAGAATTTTTTTTGGAGCGTGCGGTCGCAACGCTTATGTTGAATTTTTAAATTTTAAGATTGTGCTTTTTTGTACTAATATGGTAATTTTGGCACGCTCTAAAAAATTACTTACAATTAACAACAACAAGACCTTATGCAACTGGAATTTATAAACAGGGATCATAACATTCATATACAGGTTCCGGGTTAATGTACTTTATTAAATTTGTTTGCGAAGATGTATTTTCGCCATTTATATCATTAACTTCTATATCTGTTTTTTTGTATGAATGATTCATGTAATGTAAATTGAACTGCACGACATATTGATATATATATATATATATATATATATATATATATATATATATATCAATTAAAAAGGTGCAAATATAATTTATAAATTCATGAATTATTCATACAAAAAAAAAAAAGTAAAAAAACAAGAACAAAATCTACTTCCATACCTGATGATGTCTGTAGGAACAGACGAAAGCTTGTAAAAATTAAAAAGACCTTATGCAACTGGAATTTATAAACGGGGATCATATCATTCATATACAGGTTCGGGGTTGATGTATCTTATTTATATAGTTTGCGAAGATGTATTCTCGCCATTTAAATCATTAACCTCTATATTTGTTTTTTGTATGAATGAGTCATGAATTTATATATATATATATATATATATATATATATATATATATATATATATATTGTAATCCACAGACAGACTGTTTCGCTGTATCACAGCTCATCAGTGTAGGTTACATATCCGATTGCCTGAAGGATAGAAACCAGACTAATTTAGCATCAGTCGGAGATTTTTCCCCTAAGCTCTCAGCTTCCAGAAAAGAGCAAGGTGAATTTTTACGTATTTATTTTTTAATAAATATGCCAGTGACTCAGAGTGCTCGATTCATAGAAGAACTTTGCATTATCAGGGGAGAGCACTGGAAATACTCTTGGTGGTGTGTTTATGAGATTTTTGCACTTCCAAGTTTATCTTCTATTTTGTTATTTTGGGTATCTTCTCGCCTGTTTTGATTGCATTAAGTATCTTTTCTTTTAACATGTATGTGTTTCTACTTTTATTAACGAGAACGAAGAGGTTAAAAGAGTTTCTGTTTGCGTTTCCCATGTCTACTTTTATTTTTCTAACATTCGGTAATGAATGGTCAGCGAAGCTAGTCTGGTTAACCATCATTACTGAGCAGTGATTTCGATCCCCACTGGATGTTCTATACACGATTCTATATTCATTCGCCCAACAAAGATCGGCACGTTGAAAAAATAAAACAACCCCTTTGACGTCACTCTTTCAGACCACCCCTGAGATTAATTTAGAAAAAAAAATGCGCTTTCAATGTGACCATAGTAAACTACTTCAAAATAAATTAAAGGTCTTTAAATTTCATTATCCACCTATGAAAACATATTTAAGAATTTGGTAATGTTTAAACCTACGTACCTGCAAAAAAAAAGCAGTGATTATTCCCTTGACCCGGCTATTATTATATACACTTGTCTCTCGGAATTCTAATCGATTTGTTCGTGTCTGAGTACGTTCGTTTCGTACTTGCTTACGGAGGTTACAGGTTACCCTCAGGCCAACTAACTTCAGCTACGTTGAGTTTTGTCAGTGATCAGATGGATGACGGCTGAAGAATAATACATGTCACCTAGCAAGCTGGTGATGGATACAATATTGCTATTGATACTGACAGAAGAAGTCGATATGTGGAGATGCGTTTAGGCACAAAGAGATAGATAAGTGTTAGGTCACAGGACATAGATAAATGGAAAGATTAACCTTTTGAAATATAGAAATATTCAAAATTCATAGAGCGAACAACCAGGGTAACTCTTTCTATTAAATCAATTTTCCTATATATGAACAGATTATAAAAAAATATATATATATATATATATATATATATATATATATATAGAGAGAGAGAGAGAGGGGGGAGAGAGGAGGGAGGGAGGGAGGAGAGAGGAGGCACGGTGGAGTGGTGGCGGCTTGGATTGAGGAATCGGAGAGCCGAGTTCGAATTTCAGTCGAATCCATTGCATTCACTTACGTGCTAATACCCTAGGAAAGGTGTGAATTCTCTTCTCCCTCCAGCTATGGGTAAATAGCAGGACAGACTGGGTTCTATAGCTTTGGATGGCAACTGGTCTCGGAGAAGGACAACTCTGAATTCAAAACCTGCGGAGGGTCGTTTGGGGACCCCGTGAAACGTAGTGCACCAAGTCTCTGTATTCGGCCCCTCAAAAAGGGTGGATGGTCCTGCACGAAACCTTCACTGTTATAATCAAATCTCATGTGCTGTTGTCAGGCTGCTGGTTTCCTAGGATCTGATCTGCTTGACCTCATACGTCGAATTCTCGTCGGAGAGTCGAATATGTATATATATATATATATATATATATATATATATATATATATATATATATATATATATATATATATATAAACGTTTTACCAGTTTGTGACTGGAAGGATAATTCCAAGGAGGATGTAAATCCAAGGAGAGCTCAATGTAAACTACAGAGCACTATAATAATAATAAAAAGACGAAGATTTTAATTATCCATTTCGTTTGTAATTTTTGTTTCTTGAACACCGCGCTAAAGTATCCGTCTTTTTATTATCATTATATATATATATATATATATATATATATATAGATAGATAGATAGATAGATAGATAGATAGATAGATCCAGCGTTGATGGACTTCAGAAGCGTCTCCGACTCATTGTGTGACGAATAATTCTCCAACCTCCAATTTCTCTCTCACAGGTGGGATGTGGTATCTGCCTCTATCACTACTTTCACGAAAAGTACACAGACAAACTACATTCCTTGTTTCCGACATCTGTGCCCTCCACGGCAAGGACCCGCCATGCCACTTACGCAGTATCAAACTTCCCACATTCCCTCCGTATTCCCTCGGTAAGAAGTAGTTTTAACTGGAACACCTTCTACTCGCGTGCCACTGTTCTGCGGAACCTACTCGCAGGGGGATGTTTCCTCGATCGGTACAATCTTAACATGTTCATTGTTAAGGTTAACCGCTATCGTCCCCTCCTATCTGTACAAAATGTCTTCTAACGTAATCCTGTACATCGACTGACACCCAAGCAGGTAAAAAATAGATATTGAACAAACTGAGTCAGATAGATAGATAGATAGATAGATAGATAGATAGATAGATAGATATGGGAAAAAACTATGATAGATAAACAGATAGATATTGAATAACTATAGATAGATAGATAGATAGATAGATAGATAGATAGATAGATATGGGAAAAACTATGATAGATAAACAAATAGATATTGAATAAACTATGATAGATAGATAGATAGATAGATAGATAGATAGATAGATAGATAGATAGATAGATATTGAATAAACTATGATAGATATTGAATAAACTAAGATAGATAGATAGATAGATAGATATGGGAAAAAACTATGATAGATAAACAAATAGATATTGAATAAACTATGATAGATAGATAGATAGATAGATAGATAGATATGGAATAATCTATGACAGACATTGAATAAACTATGATATATAGATATTGAACTATTTCAGCCCGCTAAGAAGAAAGATAGAAGGCGAAGAGGATATAAAACCGGTAACTGCGATCACAACGCAGTTTTCCTAAATAACCAGCACAGAATTCTTTCTTTTTTTTTTACAAATAACTACAAATAGTCCTTGAATAAAGTGATTGCTGCTCTTGTATAGGTAAAGAAAAAACACCAGCGTACGTTTCTAAACCATTCAATACATTTGAAAGACTGATCGGACAGTTAGTAGAAAGTAATGACGATAAACGAACTAATAACATATAATGTTGGCTGAGATAGATGAAGCAAGAGATACTGGTTTGAGCTGATTGATGGGTAACTCTGTGTTCATATCAATGGGAGAAAGAGAACGAAGATATTTGCATAATGGCAAGGTTCCAGACTGAGAGTAATAGAATTCGTTTACTGCCACTATTATCTTCTTTATCCGAGTGACTCTATTAATAATGTTGTAGGAAGCCAACGCCAATGTTTTATCGATGCCTTCCAAAGAATTCCCACAATAAACTTTGATTTTAAAAAAGAAAATCAGTAAATAAATAAAATAATTGATCCTTGTCTAGAGCCTTTAATGCGACATTTTCTATGAATATATATTTTCGGTTTTTCCAGATTTCGCTCAATAATTAACTGAATTAAGATTTTCTTAGACATATAAATCGTTTTATTGACGTAAGAATGAAGGTAATTTAAAATTATAATGATTTTGGATGAAATAATTTTTATATATATATATATATATATATATATATATATATATATATATATATATATACATATATATATATATATATATATATATATATATATATATGAAGAAATATAGTTTTAAGGTATGTTATATTTATGGGATAAAGTTATCAATATCAGAAACAGTATGTAAATATAAATATAAAAGGTACATTGAAGTCAACACTTAGAGGCAAGAGGCTGTTTTCATGATAGACGCAATCGTCAGGCCCGTCGATTGCGTCTAGCATGAAACAGCCACTTGCCTCTGAGTGTTGACTTCAATATTCACTTTTATATATATATATATATATATATATATATATATATATATATATATATATATATATATATTATTTACATTATTCGGACTATTGTCCTCATCTTTGTTGCCATATTTATCACAACGTTTCAGCGATTGTACCTCCCGCCCTTCTTCAGGTGGTTGGAATGTCAAAGTGAACACTTTATTTCGCTCGCTGGACATAATATATCATCTCAGAAGTATATATATATATATATATATATATATATATAATAAATGTGAGTAAAATATATCACTTATCTAATGTTACCTTCAGCATCCCAACACCAGAGTTTCGTAGACTGACCTGGCCGTCCACTCTTCAGTGCGGTATAAACAATTTACTGCTTAGATTTTTCCTTTATGCATATCTAACACTGGTGTAAGTTTTCTTATATATACATACATATATATATATATATATATATATATATATATATATATATATATATATATATATATATATATATATATATGTGTGTGTGTGTGTGTGTGTGTGTGTGTGTGTGTGTGTGTGTGTATTTAGGCAACAAATTCCCTTTTAGGCATGTCTGATTGAATAAATTACAGACACTATGTCTGCTAATTTTTAACAAAATCCGTTCATGCTCACGAATAATCTTCCGTGAATTGATGTTACAGAATGAGAGAAATGTGCTATAGCTGTTTAAATTTCTTTTATTTTCATTTCCCAAGTAATTTCGATCTTCTTCCAAGATCATCTTCAGTGGTGCAAGTAGTACAAAATTATATGTTTTTCATTAGTACAAGTATTTACAAAGTTGTGCGTTATCCATTACTGTAATATTTTCATTATGCTTTTAAATGCAAAACAGTTGAAAATGTGCTGAGCGTAATGAAAATATTACGGTAATGGATAACAGCGCACAACTTATAAATAAATAAATACTTCTACTGCGGAACATCATATAGTTTTGTACTACTTGCACCCCTGAAAATGATCTTGGAAGAAGATCGAAAGTACTTGGGAAATGAAAATAAAAAAAAAGTTAAGCAGCTATAGAACATTTCTCTCATCCTTTAACATCAATACACGGAAGGTTATTCGTGAGTAAGAACAGATTTTGTTAAAATTAGCAGATATATATATATATATATATATATATATATATATATATGTGTGTGTGTGTGTGTGTGTGTGTGTGTGTGTTGTTTTATCCTTTCACTCCAAGCAACACAATAAAAGTAAGACATAAGGACTTACTGATTTCTTATATAATATACAAAAAACGCTATAAATGAGAGAAAACAATATACCAAATAGAATTAAGGAGACAGAATTGAAAGATTGCATTTAATTTGTGAAATATCGATGTTGAGGTGTACGCAAGACTCCAGAAGAAAGTTCTAAGAGTAAGAATTGATTTAATGCTGTGTTTGTTATGTTTGTATAGAAAGTTAGGTTTGTGCGTGTACTAGCAAAACGCACAAACCTAACTTTCCTCTCCACACGATTATAATCCAAATTCCCTCTCCTGTCTACCAGCTAACTAAATACTTAACCAATTAATTACACCATACATACCTAACAAATACAACATTAAATCAACCCTTGAACTTATACAAATATTAAAAACTGAAAAACCTAATAATGAAACCATAGCATCACTTGACGTTGAAAATCTGTTCACTAACCTTCGAGTTAGAGAAACCATTGACATTAGTATTTTTATGTTATTCTAGAATAACAATACAATAAACAGCACTTACCGGCGTAAGGGTCCTAGCTAGCGTCCAGCTGGCAGACAAAAATAAAGCTGGTTGTAACTTAATACAAACCCTGCAAAGTAACTGATGAATCAAGCTTGTATTTATATAGAAATACCTCCACTCATGTACCAGCAGCCAATCACAGCCCAAGCAATGGACTATCCCACTTTAGCACAATGAGATGCTCTATTGCACCATAAAGAGCTCTCTTTCTCAAGGTGGAGTTATTATTCACTCAGCTTGCTCCACAACTGAGTGTTTATCTTGACCGCGTGATTGTTCTACAATTAAAAGTATATATAATAATTAATCTCTGTCCTCATTAAAAATTAAAGTTAAAATACTCAGAAAATTAATTTTAAGCAGACCATGTTTATAATTCATTTAATCAGACATGCCTAAAAGAAAATTTGCTGCCTAAGTACACGAATATATATATATATATATATATATATATATATATATATATATATATATGGTTAGATAGATGTGAGAGTTAGTGACCCTGTTTTCACGCTTTAACAATCTACATAAACCCAATTTAAAAAAAAATTAATCAGTTTGTCTGACGATCGCTAAAGCGTGAAACCCAGGGTCACAAGCTCACATCTATCCAACCAAATATGTTAGCTCTATCTCTGATACTGAGCTCGTTCTAATAAGTACCGCGCATATAATATATAAATAATTATACATATATATATTTATTTATATTTATATACACTTTTTACATATATATATATATATATATATATATATATATATATATATAAACCACGGCATATATATAAACCACTGCGACTAAGTGATCGTTCCCTTTCAGGTCATTGGCGGTCATGGTTCTCCACAATTTCCTGTCCATTGTAGCTCTTAATACATTATGTCGTTTTGCTCTCTCTCTCTCCTTAACCTTGTTCCACCATCCATTAACTCAAGCTCACTAGGTAGGTTATGCGTTATTTTCCCCTATCTATCCTGCCTTCAATCTGTCCTGTGAGTATCATATTTTCTAAGTCTTTCTTTCTCATTCTGTGTCCTAAAAATTCCAACTGTCACTTCAGGATGTTAATTATAAGTGTCCTTTTTGTTTCGATTTTCTCGAAAACTTCGTCGTTGCACACCCATTCGGCTCATGTTTTTCTCAGCATCCTAACAAATTTCTGTTGCTTTAAATCTCTTAGTCAACTGTGAGTGGATTGCCCAGCATTTATTGTCATATAGTAGGACTGATATTCCGTAACATTTCAGTACTATTTTCTTTGTTTCTAAATTCATCCAAAAAGAGCGAAGCGCGAAACAGTCGAAACTTCATGGTAAGAACACAATTGAGAGAATTTAATCCGAATGAAAATAATAACTCATCATGCCCGATAATTAGACAAATATTATTGTCATATTGGTACAAATCCTTTTTCAAAACGTTTGTCTACGTTTTCATTGTGTCCATGCGGAATGTTTCTGGTTTACTCAAGATCCAATTGTACAAAGCGGAATCCAACTTTATTTGATGAAGAATATTAACTTTTCAATGCTAATGTCAATTTTCCTAACAACCAAAGATTGGAACAAACAAACTCTCACGGTTTACTGACTGCAATGAATCCTTTCATTGCCGTGTAGGACGGATGTGTCACCTGCCATGCTTTCTTTTCCGGACACGTCGTTTCAATGCTCGCAATATAACGCATTGCATTTATACATCTCTGAACATGGCCGCATCTCTCTAATTCCAAATATTCTATCGTTATTCACTGCTTTATACGTAACAAGAACGTACTAAAGACTACCGAACGTAATTGCTCAGTGCTGCCATAAATTTATCGACACTAGAAGCATTTGAACAGCAATTTATTTACTGTTGAATACATGTTCAAATAATTTTCTGTCTCCATTATTAACGAGGCGACGCATTAGATTTTACCTGCCATTTAACCCTTGTATATTGAAAGCTGAACATAATAGTTGATTTATCGTATGACAATAAAATTTGTTTTGCCGTAAGACAAATAAAGTTGCTTTAAAAGGAATAATGTAGGATTGCTTATGGCAAGAAAAAAAAAGTATCTTTATAAGAATCCGAAAGCGAATTAAACTTTGAACAAATTTGGATCAACCATAAAAGTCTAAACGGGATTTAAAGAGAATTACATTGCATTTCGCGCAGAATCAACGACGGCCAAACTTATTCTATTTTCGTTTCTTTATCTGGCTTCCTTATACAGGGTGACCAAAAAAACGGCAATTTTTTAAGTGTGTATTGCCAGACATGAGCAAGTGGCAACACTGCGAGAGAGTGACCTTGAACAAGTAAACATTTCGCCATTTAGAATTCAAGATGAAATGTTGCAGCAGTGAATGAGGAATCTCAACAGCAGATTTCAAGAATACATTCGTACGCCATCTACAGGACATAATTTTTAAAAAATGAAAGTTCCATCATTGTTTCTTAAGTGGCATGTTCTAAGGTTTCAATTACTATGAATAAAATATTTTTCTTCCATCACAATTGGTTTTATTGTATTGTTAAAAAATTCCCGTTTTTGGGGGTCACTCTGTATAAGTAACAGCTATTGTAGCATTGTTTCTAAGTTAGAAATTTCTAGTTAGAATTACATCGCCACGTGACGGCTTGAATCACTGAGGTATCTGAGTGTGGGTGATATATCGACCTTTCAAATTCTTGCAGCCGTTTAAGTGTCTTCACGCTCTTTTAATCTCATATCAATAACCTAAACAAAGGCAATACATCACGTTCAAGCCACTACCACTCAGATCGACCAGTAGTTTGTTATGATGGGCCAGCCTACACATTCTGTAAGTTAAAGAGAATTCTCTACTAATTGAACCTGGACAAGGGATTCCAAACATAGGATGCCCATTCAATCTGAAAGACTGCATCAGACGATTGATTTTTGTTCTTTTTTTTTTGTTTGTTTTCTTTTAGAATTACATCGCAATGAACTGGCTTAGTAATATGGATGCGGGAGGTAGAGTGACCCTTCTAATTCTTGTAGCCGTCCAAATGTCTTCACATCTTTTTTCTTCTCATATCAAGAACTTGCATAAAAGCAATGCTATCATTGTCCTATTTCCACGCTCTCAGGTTTCCATCACTCAAATCGACAGTATTTTGCCATGCAAGGTCTACCTAAGCATTCGGTAACAATTATTTCGTGATGTCAAAAGGAACTCTCTATTGCTGGAACCTAGATTCAAAATTATAATGCCCATTCAATCTCAAAGGCCGCAGCGGGCGATTGTTTTTGCTGCAGGTGCATTGTGGGAGAAAAAGAACATTTATTTTTCCTGTACGAGAATGCATGTCATTGTATTGCAATGTGATGCAGCACGCATAATGGATTTGGCATGGAAACATTTTCTTAAATGCTGCATATTCCGCACAAATGTCACGTTTACATTATCATCTGCTTGGCTTCATGTTACATTCTTCTTACTGTCAGCGGTTCGGAAAAAAACAAACGTTCATCATATTGAAAAACCTCTCGAATAATATACTGTATTTTCGTTCTTTTTTTATTCAATACACATTTCACCTGAAAGTTAACATCAGGTCATACAATATCAAGGTCAACACCTTGATAACTGAATAAAGACACGATGAATTTGCATGACATACAAGAATTGTATCAAAAATACATTGGCAACATTGTCGTCAATCAATCTAAAATAATTATTTACATTATTCGGACTATTGTCCTCATCTATGTTGCCATATCTATTACAACGTTCCGGCCGTTGTACGCTCCGGCTTTCTTCAGGTGGTTGGAATGTCGAACTGAACCCTTTATTTCGTTCACTGGGGTAAACTGTTCTTGTTCTATGTACCATGTTTAATGGACGTCAGTTATCAGTTATCTCCTGTTAATTTCCATCTGAAAGTTCCCCAATGCCTTAACCGAGTATTGAACTCACACTCTTTGGGTGTATCTATTTAACACCTTTATCCACTGTGCCATGTGTCCCCTAGACGTCTATAATACCCCATCTCAGAAATATACACAGATACTAAGAAAATAATGCTGAATAGTAATGTAAAAATAAAAACCAACAACAGAATTTTTTATATGCTCTGGCTCATTCAAACGTGTATGATCCTAGGTTTCTACGTCTTTTCGCTACAATGAACTTTTGAACCTTTAGTTACAGAATGCAGTGGCCGACATAGTATAGCACAATACTGGTCAGAAGACAGTGATCGGTTGCCTTTGTCTAAGTTTGGCATATGAAACAAAAACTTCTCGAAGTCGGCTGAGGGCCGCAAGAATTCTGAAGTGTCAATACGCTTTCCGCCCTCGGATTCCGCACGTGACGAATTGTTAAGTCAACGAGTTCTCCTGAAGATCTTACTCGCTTTAGTTCCTGTAATTGATGGTATCACGTCTGTCCTTCTATAATAAAGTGAATATGAAAAAGAGATAGTCCTTTGTTGACAGGGTCTATGATGTGAGCAGGGTCTTTTTTCAACCACCCGTTCGTATATAACTTACTCGCTGTTTCCCTTGCTATTCCTACCATTTAAGTGTTAGCTTCTCCCACCTGTTTTCTTTATTTTGCACCCAAGAAATGAAAACTGGCTTTTTCTGATTGTAAGTATAAATTATTTCTAGTTCTTGTTTTCTTTAAAAGACGTTCAGTTTGATATTATCAACATCCGCTGCTAGAATAGGTTCGCCGATCGTCCGGTTCACACTCCTCTGCTCTCTTTTGAATAGAACTACAAGTTATCCCTTGTTTCCTGTTTAGGGTTGTTTTTATGGTTCTGCTTAAAGTTTGCTTCAGCTCTGTACCCCTAACGGCTGGGCCTGAACACTGAAATTTTATACACTAATTATTTCACTTTATTTTTCTCTCTCCTCCACCAATAAAAGCTGGTTCACACTCCTTTCTTTGGGAGAGGTGTAAAGGTTTCTCCCTTGTTTGTTGTCTAGGATTGTGTTTCCGATCCTTACTAAAGTCTACTTCAGCTCTATATTCCTAAAGCTTGTCCTTTCTTACAATAATACAACTTCACACATTAACCCTCTACCTTGAGTGACTCTAGGACTTAGTATTGGGTGAAAGAATAAAAATAAAAATAATCTCAATTTCCTTCGTGTTACATTGGTCAAAGCATAACTGTTACAATGTGCAACAGATGCACATGAAGATGCATCCTTGAACATTACAATGTTAATATCTTCAAGACCAGGGTCAATTGATCTATCATACAGGTCCTCATAATTATATATACATTTTACTTGCACCTCGCTCTCCCTTACAACAATATTACCCAGTAACCGCCTAGCGTCCTGGGTATGACGATAAACTACATCCGCGTGTAGAGTAAGACAATAAACTACGTCCAACAGAAAAGCCTCTGATCAGGAGGCTTCGAGAAGCGTGAAACCACCTCTTAATTGCTGGTGTTCCCAGGTCCACCCTGGCCTGGGGTTGTAGCACCTGTTAGGGTCCTAACTATGGGCAAATAGTTAACCCCCAAACTGAGGTAAAAAGCATTATAAAAGTGTAAAAATAGGTTTTAATAACAGAAATACTTTGTAAAAAATTATTACGAGAAATACATTTTTGAAGGAAAAAAAATATTACCAGCAATACATTTTTGTAAAAAAAATATTATCAGCTATACGTTTTTGAAAAAATAATATTAACAGCAATACGTTTTTGAAAAAATATTATCAGCTATACGTTTTTGAAAAAATAATATTAACAGCAATACGTTTTGAAAAAATATTATCAGCTATACGTTTTTGAAAAAATAATATTAACAGCAATACGTTTTTGAAAAAATATTATCAGCTATACGTTTTTGAAAAAATAATATTAACAGCAATACGTTTTTGAAAAAATATTATCAGCTATACGTTTTTGAAAAAATAATATTAACAGCAATACGTTTTTGAAAAAATATTATCAGCTATACGTTTTTGAAAAAAAGTATTACCAGCTATACATTTTTGAGGAAAAAATATTAGCAGAAATAGATTTTTGACAAAACAAAAATATTACCAGAAAAAAAAAAGTTGGCCCATTGATGTTGATATGCCGTAAAACAAAACAAAATAAAACGAACAAACCAGGAACCACCTGCTTCGAGTGGACCTTGAAATGGGTGAGCCTGAGTAAAGGAAAATCTTTTTCATGTGGAAAAAGATTGTTGAGTATTCACTACCATCTAAGAGAATAGATATTACATCGAACATTCTATCCTCCATATAAGTACAAACATTTCAAACACTGATCATTATTGATCTGTTGATCAGAAACTTGGTCATTATCTGTTCGTCTTGAAAGACGACTGGATGAAACATATACAAATCTACTTAGAAAAATCCAGAACATCAGCTGGAGATCCCATGCAACACTTAACACAATTTACGGAGAACTGAGACCAATTTCTCTTCAGCTCAAACAAAAAGCGATTAGAGTTTGTGGGCCACTGCTATCGAGTGCACAAGAAAATCGTCTCATCCTTACTCCTACAGCATCCTTCTGGAAGTGTCTTCTCACGGAAATTGACTTTCCCAGACACAATAGCTCTGGACTCAGGGTTTGACATTGGGGATCTGGGGACGGCAATACAGGACCGAACAATGTGAAAAGGGATTGTCTATAGAATTCCAACCAAGGATGATGATGATGATAAGATATTAGATTGCTGAAATCAGAA